GTGTGTGTGTGTGTGTGTGTGTGTGTGTGTGTGTGTGTGTGTGTGTGAATGCAGGTCCAAGGGGTTCACCTGGGATCCCAGGGGCCCCTGGGAATCAAGGACCAGGTGCAAGGGGAGAGAAGGGAGAACCCGGGGCCCAAGGTAAGGGTTTGGATATTTATTAAAGAATTCATAGCACCACCGTGTAGTTTCTATCTACATGGTGGTGCTTGCCAATGAATAGGCATGGCGGGTCTCCCTGCTAACACAGAAATAAAACTACATGTATCCTGACATAATGAGCCAATATTTCCTCTTTATTCGGCCAGGAAGACCATGAGATTTGTCATGTGTGTGCGTGCATTCGTGTGTATGCGTCTGAGTGAGTGAGTGAGTGAGTTTGCAACTCTGAGTCTGTCCAAAGCTAATCCCGCGTTCTGCAGCAGCGAACTGCTAAATACTTTTGGTTGTAGGCTTAAGGACCTCTTGTGATTGCGGTGACAAACACTTGTATTGTTTTATCCCGCCATTGACTGCCCGCCTACTCTTCTCTCACTGGCCCTGGCCGGTAGGGGCCACTAATGATAACATGGCCATCTCCATGCCGCCCAATCTAATACTCTGTGCCCACAGTGGGGGGATAACAGTTGATTATGTGTTTGGCTAACAGCTCACGGAAATACCACAACACACACTGCTGTGTACCTCTCGGCCGCTGCTCTGCGGCTCACTTTAGTTGTTTTGGACGGTGTGTTTGGCTAACCGCTAAAAGAACTACCACACACAGCTGTACGTTTCTGCAACTCAGCTGCTGCTACGCAGGCAGACAGCTTGGTGAGTTTAATTCTTTTTTTGGCCAAGATTGTATGACGTGCCTTATACGATCACTTTAAACCTTTTGCAGATCACCGCTTGTGTTTAAGTTTGAATGAAGTTACGCCACCTTACAGGCCGTTGGTATCAATCACACAATAAAGCTTTTGGTCATTGCAGACACACCTTTCTATTTCAGTCATTTCTTAAAGTTCCAATGCACTTACATCTTTACAAAATGAAATAAACGAAATAAGCTAGCCCCAGTTCAAAAAGATTGGTATCAGTCATCAAACTCATGTAAGTTGAGTCATGAGTCTTAAAAAGATGGCAGGTTGATTACCGGGCTGTTTTCCCTTTGCTGTTAAGAGTTTTATTTATTTTTCAAATAGAGTTTTAGGTGTTCCTACACTTACTGTAAGTAGACAAGCTAGCAAGGCTACAGAATGTGCCCACCCAAACTAAACCAACATGACCTTTTAGTAGAGACTACATATACGTATGCTTGTCATGTATCTATATTGTGTAAAAGAGAAGAGTTACTCCCCAAATCCAAATCTCGCACCTTCATTATGCACAATGTAGCTCAACTGCTGACTGTTGAGTTGTAGAATCAGGTGTGCTATGCTATTAGCAGCTGATGTAGCCTTGAGCCTCCAGTCTGCAGAAGAGATAAGCAGTGGGCTACATTAGTCAATGATTTATATTCACACAATACCAGGAGTTCTCCACCTACCTATTGACTGGAGATTTCTAAATGCAAAGTTGTTGCTAACAAACATACGGCCCTTATATCCTGGATTCTGACAGGCCAATAACAACCCTTTATCTACATGTGTGGGAACATAGGGAGTCCCCATGTGGAGATGACGAACTGTTAATGGTCGACACTGTCAACGGATGGATGAATCATGTTTTGATAAGTCTGTTCCAAACCGATTAACAAATACGTTTTGCCGTTAGTCTGACAAACACAAACTAACTTTGAAGGAGTTTTCTTTGGTGACTGTGGCTGAGCCATCCTGTGTTGCATGGGCGGAGGGGAAGGGCTGCTAAGTAGAGAGCCGAGATTCTGAAAGAACAAAACTTCAAATCACATTCTTGAGCCGCTTACTGGCAGGAGGAGAGCTCTGAGATTAAGCAACAGTGAGGGAACTGCATGTGTCTGGTTTTAAGTCATGTGACCGTGGTGTAGTTTCTTTATAGCCTAACATTAGCTTTTTACTTTTGGCGATTGCATTTATTCTCCAGAAATCATAGTGGTGCTAATTTCTAAAGATTGTCTTTCTAAACAAAACGTGTAAGTATCATAAATGTTTGTTTGCCACAGAGCTTTTTTACTGCAATGATCCAAATTGACAAGTAAGTAAGTAAGTACGATTTATTTATAAAGCGCTTTTTACAGACATAAGTCACAAGGTGCTTAACAGGGGTAGAATTAGAGACATAAAAAACACAATGTGACCATATAAGGGCCAATAATGTACATACACACAGAAAGAACTAAATTAAAACATGGTTTAAAAGCAGGCCTAGGACATGAGGTTTTAGTCAAATGCCAGTCTAAAGAGGTGTGTCTTGAGCTGATTCTGGAATGAATTCACAGAATCTGTGAAACGTAAGGGTGTAGGCAGAGCAGTCCACAGCCTCGGTGCTACTGCCTCAAAAGCTCGGTCACCACGGGTCTTAAGGCGAGTGCATGGGACAGACAGAAGACCTAACACGTTTGACCTGAGACCGCGGGCGGGTGAATAAGGGTGAAGTAATTCAGTCACATATGTAGAAGTCTGACCGTGTAGTGCTCTGTGAGTGAGGGTGAGTATTTTAAAATGGATCCTAAATGCTACAGGGAGCCAGTGGAGAGATCTGAGTACGGGGGTGATGTGAGACCGTCGATTTGTCCTGGTGAGTAATCTGGCGGCAGCGTTTTGGATGACCTGTAAACGGTTAAGAGCAGACACACTCAGTGATGAGTAAAGTGTGTTACAGTAGTCGATGCGTGAAGAGATAAAGGCATGTATGATCATCTCTGGTTCAGCTGTTGATACTACAGATCTCAGTTTACTGATATTTCTTACGTGGAAGAAACAGGATCTAGACAGCTGCTTAACATGGGGCTCAAACGACACTGATTGGTCAAATATTACCCCTAGATTACGCAGGTTGCAATGAGCAGCAGAGGAGAGTGGATAAATACTCTGCCTGATCGTAGGGACAAACTCATCTGGTGCAATAACCAGAACCTCCGTCTTGGTGTCGTTGAGTTGTAAGCAGGTTTCTCCCGTCCAGTCTCTGATGGCATTGACACAGCCTAGTTACTGTGGAAACCTCACTGGGTTTGAATGAAAGATATAAATGATAGGACACATTGTAACTTTTTATAATCCGTCCCAAAGGCAACAAATATAGGGAAAATAACAGAGGCCTCAGAACCGAGCCCTGCGGTACACCACAAGACAGTAGAGAGGTAACAGACACAGAATCACCCACAGAGACATTAAAACTTCTGTCATTGAGCTAAGACGTGAACCAGTCTAACGCTATGCCAGATATGCCAACCCAGTCACGTAGCCTCTTAATCAGGATGTTATGGTCTACAGTGTTGAACGCAGAACTGAGGTCCAGAAGTACTAACACAGAGCAGTCACCTCCATCAGAACACATGAGAATGTCATTTGAAACCCTCAGGAGAACGGTTTCAGTCGAGTGTTTTTTACGGAACCCAGACTGGAATTCGTCGTACATGTTGTGCCTCTCCAGTGCAGCAGTAAGTTGGTTGTTCACAACTTTCTCTAAGATTTTTGAAAGGAAAGGCAGTTTTGATATGGGCCTGTAGTTCATGGGCAGAGCCGGATCTAAGTTGGGTTTCTTTAATATAGGCTGGATAGTGGCATGCTTAAAATAGGAAGGGACAATTCCTGTAGACAATGAGGAATTAACAATAGATGTTACACTAGGGCCAATAATTGGCCGAACTTTCTGAAATAGAGAGGTTGGTATTTTATCCAGAGGGCAGGATGATGGCTTTGTTTTGTTAATTAAGTCCATCAGGTCTTGAAGGCTGATAGGCTGGAAAGAGTCCAGAACAGTAGGAGATTGAGAGGAGCTACATGTAGATGAACAGATCCCAGGCTGAATGCCAGACCTAATAGCTGTTACCTTATCATTGAAATAGGTAAGGAATTTGTTGCAATCGTCAACAGAACAGCATGGTCATGTAGAGACAGACGGTGAAACAATTCTCTTAATTGTGTCAAACAAAATCTTGGGATTTCTCTTTGAGGAAGAGATTAAGTTGGCAAAATAAGCAGTTCTAGCGTCCTTTACTCCAGCATTAAAAGAAACTCTGAGTTCTTTGAGATATGAGCGATGCACTTCTAGCCCAGTGGCTTTCCAGAGCCGCTCTGTCCTGCGACACTTCTCCGTGGATGACAGACGCTGTCTGCAGCTTGTAGGCAGCCCTGGTTCTTTCCTTAAGAGGTGCCACTTTATCCAGCAAAGTGGTGCAATGTTCATTAAAAGACTGCATCAAGAGTTCAACATCATTAAGATTTGTATTAATATCACAGCAGAAGTGCATAGAGAACTGATCAGCTGTACTCTGAGTAATAATGCGGGAGTGGAATGTTTGTTTCAGACACAAGGGGTCAGCATTTACAGAAAGATCAAAGAAAATACATTTATGGTCACTGATCAGTAGGTCCTCACAACGATGTATTATCAATATCAAGACCCAGAGAGAACACAAGGTCCAAGGTGTGACCACCCCTGTGAGTGGCGCCAGAGACATGTTGCGTGAAATTAAAAGATTCAGTAATATTAAGAAACTCAGTGGCACTACAGTCTGTGGTATCATTGATATGCAGATTAAAATCACCAATCAGAAGCACTTTGTCTAGCTTGATAATAGAGGTCAGAAAGTCTGTGAACTCTGATAAGAACTGACCTGCAGGACCTGGAGGTCGGTAAATTAAACTGCTTTAGCCGGCCCACTTTAGTCAGCTGGAGTTCAAAAGTAGCAGGAGTGATGCGGAGTGACATCACTTGAGGATATTTATCATTATCTCTGGAGACACTTAAGGCTTTATAGTACTCATTTTACGCCACATCATCTGTTAAACAGACTTTCATGTGTAAAATTGGTGGAGATCCCCTTGCAGGCACCTCACTGGTAGGGCTGTGTGTTGTGCCTTCTAGCAGGTTACCAGCTGGATTAGATTTTTGACAAACGTAGAGTCAGCGCAGTTATCAAACCAACCTGGCTGGTGCACATGGACATCACTCCAGTGTGCTGAAGGAGATCCCTCGTTTTTTAAGCCAAGATTTAAGAAAACCCAACAAAAACTATAAACTAATCCGTCACATGCATTCATGTAAAAGGCTGATTTAGTTGTGTACCAGTTTGCCAGACTCTGTGATCTTTGCTGACTGATGAATATCAGGTCCTGTATAACTACCATATTCAGTATGGTGTGTGTCAGCTGTGTCTTAGTCATGATTCAAGTTTGATACATGATACAGTTCTGGGGTTGGTTTCATTCTCTAGTGAGCAAGTTGCTGTTGTTCATATGTTGTTGGGTTTAATTTTCTGTTAGCCCACAGCTGATATAGACCAGTGGCGGGCCGTGTGTTTTATAGCTGGGCCTTCAGTGCTGTCCTACTACAGTTGAACCACCTCCTAATAACCTCATTATGACGCCACAGCTACGGTTATTATTTGTTTCTAGGGGTGTAACAATACACGTATTCGTATTAAACCGTTCGGTACGAGGCTTACGAACCGAACAATTCGTTTGAATAATACTAGTGCATTTGGAAAATGCAGAAGCTTAAATTGTGGGAAATATAATGTTTTCGGTGGAGCCACTGCGCTCAACCTGGTTACCCCCATGACGTAACAGAAAGCTGTCTGACACTCCGACCCCGAAAGAAAAACATTCTACACACAGAAAAATAAAGGTGCCATCTGGAACCGAAAATGGTTCTTCGGAGTGATGCCATAGAAGAACCATTTTTGGTTCCACAAAGAACCTTTCCGACCAGGGTTCTTTAAAGAACCATTTCCTTAAACGGTTCTTTAAAGAACCCACAAAGGTGCCTCAAAGAACCTTCAAAAAATGGTTCTTTGAAGCACCATTTCTGGTTCTTTGAAGAACCTAAAGACAAAAAGGTTCTTTAAAGAACCATTTTCAAAAAGGTTCTTTATGGACCCAAATGGTTCCATAAAGAACCCTTTTCAAATGGTTCTTTAGCTAAAAATGGTTCTTCCAAGGAATAAATGGTTCTTTAAAGAACTGAGTTTTGGAAAACGTGATTTTTTTTTTTTTTTACATTTAAACAGCATAACAATGGAATCAGGGTTCCCACTCTTTTTTGGAGATCATATTCCAGGATCCTTTCTGTGATGATCTATAAAATCATCTTTTACATTCACGGAAATGATGGCAAATTGATTTGTGGATAAAAGAAACACCTGTAGATGTACTGCACTTCACTTTATTGTCAGAAATCAACTCTATACAATGTAATCCATGTGCTGCAGTGTCTTATCTAAGAAATGTTCAGAGCATTTGCCACTCTCTGCATAGCTACAGGTACCCGTGTGTCCAGCTTCAGGATAAATGCCTCCAAAAACGAAAATGTTTTTTTCAGATGATAGAGGGCCAACACAACACCCATGGCCAATGAACCGTCTGCGTCTTCATTGTCCACCATCATTTTTTGTCCATCCACTGCTACAAAAACATCTGTGCCGTCACTCAGGGGCTTGCCATCGCTGCTGCTCAGGACAATTGTGGGTGTTGGGCTTAGTGGTTCCTGAAACAAAACATTTGAAACTTAAAGCTGTATTCCGTAATGTTTAAAGATCAAAGCTTTCTGATATGCTTAGTTGCACATAAAATGCTAGTTTGTTGAGATTAGATGTCATATTTTTGAAATTGCACTTTATCTTAATTTTCTGAAAATATATTTCCCTTTTTTAAATAAACAAATTCAAGTTGCCCCCCACAAACACAAATGACTAACCTTATCTATTGCGAAGAGCTGTGATGCATTTTCTTTGAAGACCGATGGTAGGAGGAGTATGGCTGCATTCACCAACAGGCCTGCAAATGACAAATCATGTTTCAATAAATGTCACAATTCTTATTCTGCAAAGTTTTGAGACTATCATACCAATTTCCTCAGGAGTGTTGATTCGGATAACAGTATCTAGGTAAACGTCAAGTCAACTTTTTAGAGCACTTCTACACAAAACACAGTATATGGGATATTCTAAAAGGCTTAAAGGGAAAATGGATCAATGAGGCAAGAAAAAGTATTTAACGTTGATTAATAGTTTTAAAGTTATTTATTGGTTTGAAATTATTTGGCTACTTGTAAAACCATCTTGTTGTACATGTCGTTTCTCAACTCCAGTCTCACATCTTAAGTTGCTCATCAGACTGTAAACAAATAAACAGCGCACTGAAAAGGAAGTCTGGATATCAGCCGGCTACACTAGAACCCCAGAAATATAGCCCCTTTCCCCCAGGGGCATATGCGTCATCAAACAAATAGCTAATTGTTCCCAAATCGCCCTCTGTCTAAAGTTCTGGTTCAGCGCCTGTCCATTTCAGGGTCTGAGGTCCACCCACCACAGTCTCACAAAATCCTGCGGTAAACACTGCACCACGTGTTATATATTAGATAAAACACTCGCCAAGATTGGAATAGAGAAGCAGGTGAATTCTTTTAAGACCTCTGCAGTAGAGTGTTGTTGCATTTAGTGTCTTCTGTACTCTCTGGAGGCATTGGCGAATGATGACCAAGTTAGGCCTCATCTTTTGGCACGCCTGCTTCATTGTTGCAATATGGTGGCTCGTACTTCTTTTGTCGTCCCCAGCATCCATTGCATCTGTTTGCTAAGTAATAAACAATGACACAATTAGGACTGAGCTGGAGCATGAAGTATGAAGCATAAAATTCAGTTTAGCATTACTCTTTTAGTCAGTGAGAAAATACTTACATATCCAGATCCATAACTTTCCTTCAGAAAAGGGAAGTTGAGCAGGACAGACTTAAAGAGCTGCTCATACTGAATATGAGACGGATACCTGTAAGTTTTCAAAAGGAACAAAACACAAGGCGTTATACAAGATTAACATTCCAGATCAGCGCAATAAACAGAGATACCTAACTCAAATGATCAGAAAGAGCAGTTAAAGGTCTGCAAATGTGTAGTTTGTCATCATGATGCATAGCTTTCACTATGGCATACAGACCTAAAAGTTGATTAACAAGGAAACTTGTTTTACAGGCAGATAACATGTCATTACTGTACATTACGGCTGTAAAAATTGGCCAACAATTATGTTTGAATATTCATTCTTGAAAAACACATAAGTTCAAACTATTCAAATATCTTTTGTTGTTCATTATGTCCATGACACTGTGTCCTAAATGGCCGCGAGTGGTACTGCGCTATGCACCGTTTAGAGCTGAACTTTTGTCGGACACCGTTTCTATTTATATTACTGTCACATGCTTTGAAAATGTCAGATAGCAAGTACTACTTAGACATTTTCTTTTTGAGGTTACGTCTCCAGTCTGATCTGGAGCTCACAGTTGATAGGTACATGGTTTGCTTACATGATGTAACGCATCACACATGTTGCTGTCTGTCGCCATCTTCTATTATGGAACACAAACTTACATTGTGTCTTGGCTCAAATGGTCAAACAGAGCTGCATCCTTGTTGGTCAGTGCCGTGAAGACTGTTGGAGGAAACCGGACTTGGCAGTTGATCATTGGTTGGGCTGCTAGGGCTCTCTGACTCACAGGGGCTTCGCTTTCACTGCTAAAGGGGAGGAAAATCAGATTTTAATTTAAGCCAACATGTAAGAAAACTACCAAAAACAAGACAAGTAAATCCTTGGAATTGTAACTGAAATGACATGGCTTCACTGTATAACGTAACTCACACTTTCAGCTGCGCTAAAGCAGACAGGAACTTCACTTGGTCTTTCATTTTTGGAAAGATTCGCTCACTCATTCTTTCAGACATCTGGAGAAGTGTAGGCCCATCTACTTCATTATCTATGGCAGAGAGAAACATTATTGAACCAAAATCATGTTAGGAGTCGGTATGTGTTGCCATGGCTCATGTCCATGTTTCGGAATTAACATTCTTGCCTTGCTTAATGCTGAACATCCTTGAATGGCCGATGTATCAGTGTTATGAGGTCTTTACCATCACAATGACTACATACTGCATGTCCACATTAGTCATTAGTGACTGTATGACTATAGTGCTTAACCTATTACTGTATTGCACAAGACATTGAAAACGAACAGCTTATGCTCAAGTCTGGGTGAGCAGCATCCATCATTCATAAGTGTTTTTCCTGACCTGTGCACAGTAAAGTGCTGCCTCTGTTCTTACCTAGAGACACAGAGGTGAGATCTGATTGGATAAAAGCTCTACTTAAAACAAGCTGCACTGGAAGCAGAGCAACTGAGGAAGACAGTAGCTGTGCAATGAGAAAATAAGATAATGGGGAAAATATTATAATACATGTAGTGTATTTGTGAAAAATGATTAAATTATAAAGCTATAGCTTTGTGGTTCTGTTTAGGCCAGCAGAGAGATGGCCCACCACTGCTGTAGACTGATTTAACTGTCATGGACTCCAGGTGCTTAAGAGTGAAACTTTGTCTCATGATGTATTTGCTTCAAAGCTGCAGGGATTTCATTAAACTGCACATACTGACTGTCATATGTTGTTAATCCATGCTTGTTGTGTTTTTATTCCAGTGTGCTTCAGTTAGCGCTGCTGCAACTGCTGCAAGCATATTTAACGTTATGGTCCAGTGATTGAAAACATGTTTTGGTTGACGATCAAAGCTCTAAACATGACTTAACTTTAAACTATAGATTTAATCTACTCATGTATATTTATTGGCTATATATCAGTGATGTCCAGCAACTGTCTTTAAAGAGATACCATGTTGTTGTCATCAGGTATAAGTGGACCCCCTGCTTTCAATGGAACTGAAGGTGAGTGTGTACTAACGTAACAGGTTTCTTCCATATGTGATTTATTGTGCAAAGCATTTGAAATGACAGAAAACATCAAATAACAACTAGGTGTAAAACAAACTTTTCCTCCCAAACATCCAGACACCAGGGGCCAGATGTGTAGATGATATGTAAGCACAGAAACCATGCAGACGCCTAATACCCACACATGAACTAGTGCACTGGTTATAAAAGAAGATTGAGGTACACTTCAATACTTCAGAACACATAGTTTTAGTGACATTATGAGGAGATTAAATAAAAGGTGAGAGATGTAACTTTATACTGCAGTAAAATAAAAAAACATTTTAACAGGAAGTCCAATAGAAATCTTGTTTGGTAAGAAACAAAGTAAAAATAACTTTTTCTTAATTTGTTTTAAAAATCATGAACTTTGGTGAAGCCGTTGTAAATTACATTTTCAAGTGTATCCACAGATATACCAGACTTCAGTTTAACTGTTGGTATACTGTTACACAAAACCTGGTCCCTTCAGCTTGATTAACCCGGCTAACCCGGCTGAACCAACCAGCATACTGCAGCATACCTCAACTGGTGTGCTGCCAAAACCTTTCAGGTGAAACTCGCGCTCCAGAGTTTTGCAAGTAGTAGACATAGATAGCTGAGTAGGTCCCAGGGCGTACCGAAAGAATGGCGTGTACCAAACCGAAAGTCCAGAACCAAACTGTTCAATACAAATACACATATTGTTACAACCCTAATCTCAACACAGATCTGTGGTTCAACTCCAGGCTGCTCCAGTCCGCATGTCGAAGCGTCCTCGGGCAAGATACCGAAAATAATGCATATGAATATATTTCTCTCATGTACACACAACTTTAGTGGTGAATCTATACAAGAATATAAGCATCTGGCCCCAGGTCTGTATTTCACTGTGAAAGAGGAATGAGTCAGAATAGATGTTGACGCATGTAATCACTCACCCGTTGTTGAGTTACAGAAGATAAAGACGATGAGCCTTCTGTACTGTGTAACATATTCAGTTGATGGATTTATACCAGTTCATGTAAACCGTCGGTTTGGTTGGAAGATGTATTTGAACATTTTTCCTCCACAGGTCGTCCTGGACCACCAGGACCCAAAGGAGACAAGGGAGACCAAGGAAATCCACCAGAGTGTAATTCATCACATGACTGACCTGAGAGCAGTGTTGAGAATGAGAGATATTTTCAAAAGCTACTACTAACGAAAACAAACTGCTAAAATGTCACTTTCAATGTAGAATAACTTTGAGCTACCAGGAGCTTTAAACAGCTGTACTTTGTGTCACCACAGTAACTGTGCGTCTTGTGCCGGGGAGAGTCCGAGGGCGAGTGGAGGTGAAGCACAATGGAGTCTGGGGCACCGTGTGTGATGATGGCTTTGATACTGTGGATGGCAAGGTGATCTGTAAAATGCTGGGCTTCCAAACGGCCATTTCCACCTTCACTGCCAGCCCGGGTAAGAAGTCTCCATCACATCATGTCAGATGAGGAGGATCTGTTTCCCATAGCAGATACAGAAAGAGACAAATGATTACAGATAATAATGACAGCAGCAGTGATATAATAGAATGACAATAATAGCCGTTATAGTTATATGAATGATGATGATGATAATACTAATAATAGAATAGAATAATAATATCCCCTAATGCTTAACAATACCCTTTAATCCTTTGTTTCTCCATGAGCACACTGTGACGCTGACCCTCTCACTACTTTCTCTCGTTTGTGGCCAAACAAGATAAGACAGGCTGTTAACGATCCATCACTTTATCCAGACTACCGATATCACTTTATTTGAACGAAAAAGTGAGAAAACATCTGTACACTGAAGGACAAGTTTACATTTTTTCAAATGAGCTTTCAAACAATAGTCAAAAGGCCATATGTACATGTAAAGAGTTATTAGTCTCTGTAAGCATTCCTCCTGTCCAGTGCTCATCAATAGCACCTATGTGTGCTGCACAATGTAAGTACTGGACAGATGGATAAACTGCTCTTTAACTTTTCCGAAAATAACGTTTTTCAAACTGTATTTATTGAGACAGATAACAGTACTATAGACCCTTTCACAGACAGCGTCGGCAAAAATATTTGTGTGCATTTCAGCAATGGAAGTGACATTTTGAAGCAGCCATTGAGAGTTAGCAGGCTTATACTAAGTGTTACCAGCATTGAAATGTCTGGTTGCTGCATGTTTGGTTGTCAGAAACCGCGAATCGCCACCTTAACGTGGTGGAGGAGTTTGAGTGGCTCAGTGATCCTGGGAGCTATGTTGTCCGGGGCATTAGCCCCTGGTAGGGTCTCCCAAGGCAAACAGGTCTCGGGGGAGAGCCCAGACTAAGAGCGGTTCAAACGACCCTAATGATAAGCAGCCCACGGTCTTTAGCCACCTCGCCCGGACCAGGGATACCGGGGCACCCTCCCGGAGCCAGACCCAGGAGGGGAGCTCGTCGGCGAGCGTCTGGTGGCCGGGCCGTCGCCCATGGGGCCCGGTCGGGCTCAGCCCGAATAAACAGCATGGAGCAGCCACCCTGTGGACCCACCACCCGCAGGGACAAGCATCGGGGTCGGGTGCAATGCAGACCGGGCGGCGGGTCAGGCGGGAGGCCTGGGCGAGCCGATCGCCGGCGGCATAGACTAGCTCTAGGGACGTGGAACGTCACCTCGCTAGCGGGGAAAGAGCCAGAGCTGGTGCAGGAGGTGGAGCGATACCAGCTAGAAATAGTTGGACTCACCTCCACACACAGCGCTGGCTCTGGAACCAAGCTCCTGGAGAGAGGTTGGACTTTGTCCTTTTCCGGAGTTGCCCAGGGTGAGAGGCGCCGGGCGGGAGTGGGGATACTTACGAGCCCCCGGCTGAGCGCCGCTGTGTTGGAGTTCTCCCCGGAGAATGAGAGGGTTGCCTCCATGCGCCTACGGGTTGCGGGGAGCAAGGCTCTGACTGTGGTTTGTGCTTACGCACCAAACAGCAGTTCAGAGTATCCGGCCTTCTTGGAGTCGGTGGGAGGGGTCCTGGAAAGGGCGCCACCTACCGACTCTATAGTTCTCCTGGGGGACTTCAATGCTCACGTGGGCAATGACGGAGAAACCTGGCGGGGGGTGATTGGGAGGAACGGCTTGCCCGATCTGAACCCGAATGGCGTCTCGTTATTGGACTTCTGTGCTTGCCACGGTTTGGCCATAACGAACACCATGTTCGAACATAAGGTGGCTCATAAGTGTACCTGGTACCAGAACACCTTAGGCCGGAGATCAATGATCGACTTTGTAATCGTATCATTTGATTTGCGGCCGTATGTCTTGGACACTCGGGTGAAGAGAGGAGCAGAGCTGTCAACTGATCACCACCTGGTGGTGAGTTGGATCAGATGGCAGGGGAACCGGTTGGAAAGACCCGGCAAGCCCAAACATATAGTGAGGGTGAACTGGGAACGTCTGGCGGAGGACCCTGTCCGGGAGGTCTTTAACTCCCACCTCCGGAAGAACTTCTCTCACATCCCGAGAGAGGTTGGGGACATGGAATCCGAATGGACCATGTTCAAAGCCTCTATTGTGGACGCGGCCGCTAGGAGCTGTGGCCGGAAGGTCATCGGTGCCTGTCGTGGCGGCAACCCGAGAACCCGGTGGTGGACACTGGAGGTGAGGGAAGCCGTCAAGCTGAAGAAGGAGACCTTCAAGGCCTGGTTGGCCCAGGGGTCTCCCAAAGCAGCTGACAGGTACCGGCATGCCAGAAGGGCTGCAGCTGCGGTGGTCACGAATGCTAAAACTCGGGCATGGGAGGAGTTCGGGGAGGCCATGGAGAAGGACTTTCGGTTGGCCTCAAGGAGGTTCTGGCAAACCATCCGACGGCTAAGGAAGGGAAAGCAGGGCTTACCCCAGGCTGTTCTCAGCAGGGGGGGGGGGGACTGCTGACCCGGACAGGTGACATCGTCGGGCGGTGGAAAGAGCACTTTGAGGAACTCCTAAACCCGACCAACATGTCCTCTGCAGAGGAGGCAGCGCCTGAAGATCTAGGGGGAGGCTCACCCATATCCCTGGCAGAGGCCGCTGAGGTAGTCAAAAAGCTCCTTGGTGGCAAGGCGCCGGGGGTGGATGAGATCCGCCCTAAGATGCTGAAAGCGCCTCCCGGGGAAGGCTTATGCCAGGGTGCTGGAAAGGAGGCTCCGACCATTTGTCGAACCTCAGATTCAAGAGGAGCAATGCGGATTCCATCCTGGCCGTGGAACAGTGGACCAGCTCTTTACCCTCGCAAGACTACTGGAGGGGTTCTGGGAGTTTGTCCAGCCAGTCTACATGTGCTTTGTGGACTTGGAGAAGGCTTTCGACCGGGTCCCTCGGGGGTTCTTGTGGGGGGTGCTGCGGGAGTATGGGGTGCCGGACCCATTACAACGGGCGATCCGGTCTCTGTACGACTGCAGTAGGAGCTGTGTCCGCATTCTCGGCAATAAGTCAGACACGTTCCCGGTGGGTGTTGGCCTCCGCCAGGGCTGCCCTTTGTCTCCGGTCCTGTTCGTGACTTTCATGGACAGGATATCTAGGCGCAGCCTGGGGGTGGAGAACGTCAGGTTCGGGGGTCTCGGGATCGCCTCTCTGCTGTTTGCAGATGATGTGGTCCTGTTAGCCTCCTCGGATCATGACCTCCAGCATTCACTGGGGCGGTTTGCAGCCGAGTGTGAAGCGGCGGGGATGAGAGTTAGCACCTCCAAATCTGAGGCCATGGTGCTCTGCCGGAAAGCGGTGGATTGCTCCCTCCAGGTGGGGATGGAGTGCCTACCTCAAGCGAAGGAGTTCAAGTATCTCGGGGTCTTGTTCACGAGTGAGGGTAAGATGGAGCGGGAGATCGACAGACGGATCGGTGAGGCTGCAGCAGTAAAGCAGGCGCTGCACCGGACCATCTTGGTGAAGAGGGAGCTGAGCCGGAAGGCAAAGCTCTCAATTTACCACTCGGTCTACGTTCCTACCCTCACCTATGGTCACGAACTGTGGGTCGTGACCGAAAGGACAAGGTCGCGGTTACAAGCGGCCGAAATGAGCTTCCTCCGTAGGGTGGCCGGGCTCAGCCTTAGAGATAGGGTAAGGAGCTCGGTCATCAGGAGGGAGCTTGGAGTCGAGCCGCTACTCCTTCGCGTCGAAAGGAGTCAGCTGAGGTGGTTCGGGCATCTAATTAGGATGCCTCCTGGACACCTCCCACTGGAGGTTTTCCAGGTTCGTCCAACTGGGAAGAGACCCCGGGGAAGACCCAGAACACGCTGGAGGGATTACATCTCCCAGCTGGCCTGGGAACACCTCGGGATCCCCCAGAATGAGCTGGAACATGTTGCCGGTGAGAGGGAAGTCTGGGTCAGCCCGACCCGACCACGGATAAGCGGAGGAAAATGGATGGATGGATGGTTGTCAGAATCAAACGGCTCACTCAATTTCTACAGAATTCCCACAGCACTGTTTCAGAGCATCAGGTGTGTGACTTTAAGTCAGATGCAGCCATTGCTCGTAGTAACAGGAACTGTATTTTAACAGGATTGAGGGTCTTTACGAGGACACCTTCATGTTCTGTTTGTGTTTTCAACGGCTCCCTTCACTATGTGCGACCACCAACGCATCCGGCTGAGTCAGCGGTTAACACGGTCACTCGTTAAACCCATAACGGAGTTGGAAGTATCGAGTGACTTGCATGCTTGTAACATTACACGCTGTTTCTCCATCACATACATGTATATATCTGGCCACTATATGGCCACTTGCGTATGTATTCTAGCCACTCACTGAAAGCATCATGAACGGTTCCTGTGATGATGCTTGGTGCTTCATGCTCGTGCGTAGCTTGATAAGCTATTGCACTATTGCACATTGTTTTGAACTTTAAAATGGTCTACACCGACTTTAATATTAGTAAATAAGTAATTACAAAACAAAATATAAAAGGAAGAAAAAATAACCTGTATGAAAATACAAAATATCATAAACCAACAAATTATGATGTAACATATTAAATGAAGCTATCCAGCAGTATATACTCTTGTTAAAAAAGCCCTTCCTTTACCAGTACTAATAATAAATACTATCTTCTAGTTTTACTTACATAAGATTTTGAATGCAAGATTGAACTTTTAACAGTAACTGTACCTTTTTACTGAAGTAAACGATGAAAGTACTTCCTCCACCACTGCTAACACCAAAGGAAAATGTAACCTTTGTTTTTGCACTTTAATATAGAGAAAAGCATCTGATGAATGCATGTTTTCTTCTCACTGCTGTCCTTCTGTAGGGGCTGGTAGGATCTGGCTGGATGAGCTCAAATGTTTAGGAACAGAGTCCGACATCTTCAGCTGCCGACACAAAGGAGTTGGTGTTAACAACTGCCAACACAATGAGGATGCCGGAGTGCACTGTGCCTAGACTGACACCACACCGAAGACCAACAAGAAAAATGTGTTCCAAGCGTTGCACACAGTTTAATAAGCATGCAGGGACAAGCTAACTGGCAGGGATCAGAGACACACACACACACACACGTAAAGATATACACGCACACATTACATGCACACGGCTCACTGGGGATATAAGCATGCAACAGTGCCACTACTAATGATGTTCACAGCTGTATCTCATTACATATTCATAAAACACAGCATCAAACTGCATTCGCTTCTAAGTTTCCAACATTACTTAACACACCAGCCTAAATGACCGTGTACTGTCAACACAAAATCATGCTCATATCACTTAACTGGAATAAAATTTCCAGGCATCATTTCTCCACCAACATCTCCCAATGAGGCTGCGCTGCGACCGTGATGCGTTGTCCTCATTAATCCCCATCCTCCTCCACTGGGCCTCTCTTCCTTTCAGTGACATGTTTGCCATCACCTTCCATCCATCACGCAACACGTGAGTTTGCAAAGGTGAGCAAAGATGAAGAGGTCGGACAGGAGTCGTGCTGAGAAATGGTTTCTGACACGGCTCGGTCACGTTTTCCAAGATGTCTCAGGGAACATATTGATACTAATGTCGAGTTCACATCACAGACGATAGACTCAAAGTAGTAATCACTTCGATTGTTTAAGAAGTTACCTTTTATGTCTGATGTCACCTTCATCACTTCTATAAGGAAGCCCTGAGAAGCAAGTGATTTCTCTCCTGTGTTTATGAAATAAAACAGCTGAACAAAGACGTCTTAAGTTCCTTATCTTTGGCTATATTTTGCCAGGTGAAATCTTTTTGTTTGTTTTTGAGAATCATTTGTTGTTGTAAGTGTTGTTGTACTTGCCCATATTCTTAATAAGATTTAAAGATTAATGTTTTCTTTCATGTGGGTTTTAATTCCTCCATACACTCTAAACACAAGGTACCATGAACGCTAACCCATCCAACCATCCATATCTACCTGAACATATATGATTTAATTCTAACTAATCAATTAGTTCAAATTCAATGGTCCCCCAAATCAATCAGTCAAGGTTTGTTTTTTCACCTTTCAATCAAATCAAATGCTTCAAAGTGCTTTACAAATAACAAGGTGAAGAGAGTAATGCACACCAAATAAAGTTCATATACAGTATGTACCTGAACAGAAACAGAATATACCGTATGTCCTGGTCAGCCATAGTTAACTCACCACAGTCTGCTCTGAGCCAGGACACTATAAAAAATATAATTTCAGCAATTTGGCTATTAGTGATTGTTAACCTGGCTGGTTAGGATAAGATTAATAAATGAATAACTTACATACACATTGCGTGCAATTACCACACACAGAAACACAAAGTGAGCGCAGCGGGCTCAGTCCCAACACTTGTGCTACCATAATGCATACAATTGGTGATTTGTATATTGGGTCAGCTTTGGATGGTTGATTTTAATGAGTTGGCTCTCATTATGGGTTATGTAGGTGCGGTATTAAAAACCCTGACCCACATATCACTGCTAGCTAGCTAACTTTCCGAGGACACTCCATGTTATATGACAGGTGTTTTCAAACAGATGTACAGTAAACTATCACTGGATTAGTGCTGCTCATCTTGGCAGGTAAGACACACTTTAGATAGAGTAGAGTAGCCTGCAAGTCAGTACAGCATCACGCCGTTAAAGCGGATTTGTTTTTTCATTTTCATTTATTCATCAAATTTATGGTGACTGTGGCTCAGGGGGATGGAGCGGCTCGATGGAAAGAAACTATTTTTGTGGCATAAAGTCTTGGTCCTGATGGACCGCAGCCTCCGTCCAGAGGGAAGGGGCTCAAAGAGTTTGTGTCAAGGGTGAGAGGGGTCGGCTACAATCTTTCTGCCTGCCTCAGTTCGTGGAGGGACGGCAGATTGCAGCCAATCACCCTCTCAGCAGAGCGAATGGTACTCCATACAACGGAGATGGAGGAGCAGAGGATGGACTCAATGATGGCTGTGTAGAAGTGCACCATCATTGTCTTTGGCAGGTTGAACTTCTTCAGCTGCCTCAGGAAGTACATCCTCTGCTGAGCCTTCTTTGTGATGGAGCTGATGTTCAGCTCCCACTTGAGGTCCTGGGTTATGATGGAGCCCAGGAAGAGGAAGGACTCCACAGCGTCGACGGGGGAGTCACACAGGGTGATAGGAGCAGGCGGGGCTGCGTTCTTTAGGAAATACACATTCATCTCCACTGTCTTTAGAGCGTTCAAGTTTTAGTCTGACTTACCATTTTATAGTCTTGTAAAATGACATTGGGCAGATAGCTTCCAGATATTTGTTTTGTTTTAAGGTTATTTGTGTTTGGAATACTTGAATATAATAATAAATAAAAATTAAAAATTAAAATGTTCATATATGTCATATAATTTTCATACTTTTATGTAAATTCCACTCGGCTTCATTACAAATTCTGAAATGATTGACTTTACATTTAAATATGACAATAGCAAGAATACATTTGTGGTAAGTTGAAAGCCCAACAAAGGTAGCACATCCTCCCCCATTACCCCCTTCTCTATCCCTTTTTGTGCACACATACGTACACCTCAATCACAAAATCTAAGTTTGGTTTAAGCCGTGTCTCTTCATCCCATACTTCATGCAGTTTATATTCTAAACCATTAAGACATCCTTTAAATGATTGGCCATTTGACAGCAGAATCCTTGCATTGCACTGCAGAATTAACATGAGTAACACTAATCTTGTGAACATGATTTTTTGTATAAATGTTCTCCCTGAACAGCCATCCCAGTCATTCCATGAATATTAAATATCTTGCTGCACACTTTACGATTATTTCAATCTTCTCAGCTTTCCCCTTTGCTTGGAATGTGTACTTCAGCCATGAAATACACAAAACTCTCCTTATCAGCAATAGAAATATATTTCTATCTCCCATCAAACTCGTTACCAGTTTCTCACTTCACATCCACCATGTGCAATTTGCACATTTCAGCTCAGTCCCGTCCTGACATCTCCCAGACCCTGCTGCAATATGTCTATATTATATTTTTGGCATTTGAAACACAGCAAAGGCGGCGGGACAGTTACAGTGTAACTCATATATCCCGCTGTCACTTTATCAAACAACACCTTCTCTTGGAAATTCAGCAACAATGGTAAACTATCAACCCTCTCTCCTCCTCTTCTTGCTTGCAGACATAATCATTTTACCTCTAATGCTTGACGTCAAATTCTCCACCATTTCCTCCTCTGGGATACCATACTGTATATAACGCCTCTCACAAAGGGCCCACCACTTGTCTGCTTGGCTTTGTCCACCATCACGCTGCACATATTTCAACTGTCATTGCTTTTTCTCTTTGGTCCTTGGGATTATATATTTTATATATATATATATTATATTTATATTATATTGTGGCCTCCCTTGAAATCTTATATTATCTTTGAATGCCTCATTTTCAACAATCTTCCTCCTCATCACTCCAACTTCATCTCACCCTTCCAAACTACTACTCTACCAGATACACTACTGCGAGTCCTGACTAGGAAACGGGTTTGATATCCAAAATATACCTTATTTATAAAGTCATGATTTTTTTAAACTTCTATTATTTACAATAATAACAATACAAAACTGTCATAAAGTCGTAAAGCTTCACACTCCGGTACAGTAGGTGGCGGCATGCTCGTTTAAGGTCGGTTTGTAGTCCGTCAACACGTTGTAGAAGAAGAAGCAGCGCTATCGCCAGTAGTTGCATGCTGGGCGCTTCAGTGGACTTTGCTCTGACCATCCGTCAAGTTGGCTGACTGCAGTCGGATCCTCAACTAAAGATGGCTGACCTCCAGGTGTGTATGGAATTAGTCCGCAACGTGTCGGCGTTGAAGAGCGACAGGAAGCCGCTGGCTGGTGTGACAGTGACCTGGAGTAATAGCGCGCCTCGGGCTTGTTTCCTGGTCTCCCGAGCCTGTTGCTAAATACACTAGAGGAGCGTCTCTAACCGACACTCTCACATTGCCAGTTGTGTTGCAACAGAGTGAGCTGTTGGCTTTTGGATTGTGTGTCTCCATTAAGACGTGACAGTTTCTGCCGTTTGTCGGTAATATCTTGGATGGTACTTTGAACGGGCCGTACTGAAGATCTCAACTTGTAACATATGTATCGATTAGTAAGATTGGAAACTTAAAAAGAAATACATAGTTCTGCATGCTATTCACACGTTGGAGGATTGCTTAACGTATGTACATAAAGGACCGTCCGTAAAGTTCGTGTCCTGCCTCGCATCATACATGTCAGCTGACCAGTAGAAGAGTGTGAGTGTTGAACACGTGCATGCATTCAGACCTTATTCCCTGACCTTTGACCCACAGCCACCCAGAGACAGCCCTGACGTGATACCTGATAACATTGTTCCAGTAGCCCGACCTTTGCTCCATTTAGTTGTTTTGTTATAGATGTACTAGATCTCTTCACAGACAGCTAGCGGGGCGTTTGTTGTGTGTGGAGGGTCCAAATGAATGAGTAAGCTCATGTGCTTCCCCCTCCACACACAATGCATTGTTGTACTTGTAAGATTTTCAGTAACACTGCATTCATCCTCAGATTCACAGTCTGGATGCATTAGCGTGGCAAAGGGAGGTGCTGCAGGGACTTCAACAGTAATACTAATGATCAGCCTGTACTGGTGCTTATCTGTATGTTTCACATTCTGTTCTTTCCAGAGTCAGCAGCAGCTAAGCTTGATGCAGGTTTAAATATCATATCGTATGGATCATACTTTTTATCCCAGCTTATTCCCACAGAAGTTTTCAGATTGATCTAAAAAGTGTACAATATCTTTCAATTGTTAATGTTAAACTTTAATATGCGTGTGCATGTGTTCTGGCCTGTCTTACCTGGCTCGTCCGGTCCTGGTCAGCATCGTTTTCCATTTACTTATTGGTTCATTACTGTTGAGCCGGAGTTAGCTAATTAACATCTGCAGTCCCTGAGAGAGAGAACATGAACAAGAAGAGAACATGTCATACAAAATATACATGATGTCATTGTTGGAAAACAGTTGGTTCCACACAAAGGTTTAGACCAGTTCTTTGCTTTACCTCCGGTGTAACCAGTGTGACCTTCAAGCTGCCGGAATGAAACACAGTGTAGTCCAGTACCCATAGTACCCTTCTTTTTAGTATGCCAAATGCAGTATGACAAAAATACCAGAATGTCCGACTGCATCCAGTCGCATTTTGCAGTATGAAAGCCGGCATGATATTCTAGCCAGTCTGACCCACAATCCTCTGCGCTGTGGATACATAAGCATGAGGGTCAAAGTTTAAAGTGAAATGTTATGAGGAAGTAGTGTGTCCCAATTGAATGCATACTGCATGTAACAGTACAACCTTTGTAAGGGCAGCTACATTATGTACTAAAAGGAAGAACTATGCGATATGGAACGCAGTGACAGTGTTTCCTCCAAAGTGCAGCACCTCAGCGCTGTCAAAGTCATCACATGAGTCATTGGTTTACATACGTTAGGCTACCGTTCACGTGTGATGTGCTCTATCATTATCAGTCACACTGACCCTCAAGAGGAGGGTCTTAGCTTTCTAATGATATCAGCATCGTTTTCTGTTCTTCAAATATCATGCAACATACGTCATGTTACATAATGACTGTCAAAGAGCTGTCATTTTGAGAAAAAGGCCCTCAAAGTTAGTACATTTCTAGTTATTTATTCAAATGAACCCTGAAACAAATTCATCAAGACACGTTGAGCCAAACACACACACACACACACACACGCTGTTCTCTTTGTCACTGTCACACGTCAAATCATGGAACAAAGGCACTTAAGTGCATGTGGGCACACAGCCCCATTATTCAAATGCATGCTCACCAAGTTAACTTGTGCATTGTGGTTATGTTACAGCTCGTGCTGGGCGGTATGACCAAAAATGTGTATCACGGTATTTTTTTAAGATTCTGGCGGTTTCACGGTATTTTCTTGACTGTTTTTCTATATATGTTTATATACTACTACTGTCAGGAGTACATAGAACATACAAACATGTTAATGTCATCGTGTATAAAGGCTTTGCTTACTAGAGGGCAGGGGTATTCAAGTACATTTCCAAAAGGTCCAGATTGAATACCGTGAATACTGAATACATACTTGCGTGTCAACTTAGAACAACAGGAGAACAATTTGGCACTTTCAGTTAATTCAGATAAAGGAGCTGCATGAAAACAAGCAACAGAATAGATACATATCCAATATCCAAATATCCAACATGCCAGAGTTATTTTCAGAGGGGCCAGTGTGACATATGGATTGAAGCAGAATATTTAGTTAGATAAAGACAATGTAGACAAATTACAAAATAATAACTTATCATTTCTCAGCAAGTATGTAGAGGACGATCGTTATTTTCTTCTCTGTGATCACAAGTTGCACCGACAAAAGGTAGTGAAGCTCGTGAGCCAACAGCCCACTGAATTTAATAGAACACAATGCAGATAATTCAGTGGAACACATATTTTGCATTCGTCTATCAGAATGCTTTGATGAAATTAAAGCAAAAAAGTAGAGGCCAAAGTAAGTTGTAAATATTTTTATTATATTATAATAAATTTATTTTATTATATTATTATATATAATATTTTCCCACGGGCCAGGCAAGACACAGCAAGCACTTAATGCAGCTCCTCAGATGCAGGTTTTAAAACTTCACAAGGACGATATCCATGTTTGTAGTGACTGATTCCAGCAACTAGCCACTGGGCTGGGTGCGGGAGAAGATCCTGTTCTTTACTCGCTACAACAAAGAGATTCCAGGCGTTTCACACTTTTGGGTGAGCTTCCCATTTAATTAGTGTTCACAGATGATATACAATAGGATAGCACTTCTCTTCCTGGTCTCCCTCTGGTGTGTCTGGCTTGCAGTAAAAACCGTGCGATCTCCCCGTCACCCATGCCTCATTACCTGTCAGTTGCACCTGTGCCCCATATATTAATTACCTACCGCAATACTCCACACTGCCACCTGTGGTCAACCTGAGATAGGCTCCTAATTCAAACATAATACACAGACATAACTAATGGCTCCTACAATGTTATTGCAAAGTAGTGGTGCTGCTGTGTAGGCGATCCTGATCTCTGACCTACTGTCGTCCACGGGAATCAACAGCTGATTAATCAGATCAGTATTGTTCTGACGTTTGTGTCCTCTCCTCTGTAGGCTAAATTTGATGATGCAGCAGCTGAGGTGAAGCAGCTGAAGGAAAAGCCGGCGGATGAAGAAATGCTGCAGGTCTACTCACTGTTCAAGCAGGCCACTGTGGGTGATGTCAACACAGGTGAGAAAGCACTCTCTGCCTCATGCTATAGATGCTCTGCAGCACTCAACGCTAGTGCTGCTCCTCCATAAAACGATTAGTCGACGAATCGGTAGTTTTAGATAAGTCGTTTTGATGTTTTTTTTCATGCTGAAAGCCTTATTGCCAAGTAACTTATGAGCACATCTCTGGCAAACATAAGATTTAAAGTTCAACCGTTGTGTGATTCTTTGTGGATAATAGGCTTGCCCCATCTTCATCGACTAAGATTTCTCTGGTTGATTAGCCCTTCTTTATGCTTTTTTCATGCTGAATGACTTATGTCCAAGAAACTTAAGAACACATCCCGTGTAAGTGTTTTTGTGTAAATCTTCCCGGGAGAAAATCAACGAATCGATTAGCCGACAAGTGCTCGTTGTCTAGGACAGCCCTATGTGCATCTCATGTCATTGTGTTGTCAATTTGCCTGATAGGCTTCTATCATAGTTTGAATGAATGGAGAAGAATTTATGAACTGACTCTTTATAAAGTTGTCGGACAAACTGTTAAACATTTGGTCTCCTCTGGGATGTTTTCCCCGTTTCCGGTTGTGACGAACTTCCTCTAAAAGGTCCAACAGTTCGAACAAGAAACAAACCAAACCACGGTTTAATTTGATCTGGACCGAGACTGCCTCTTTTTGTCGGACTACGGTTCTACTGTCTGGTCTGTGGTTTCACACCTGGAACTTTGGTTCAGATCAAACTTAAAAGAGGGGACCAAACAAGGTAACAAGGTAGGTGTGAAAAGGTCCCAAAAGCAGTGGAGCCACAGAGCCTTTCATAGTCGTTCATTCATTCATAGTATGTAAGAGCATGTCCTTGATATCTGGGTTCGGGTTAGACAAATCTTCCATCATGTGCTCTGACAGACCCTAATTCTTACGGTTGTGCTCCTGAATAACGCGTGTGCCAGAAAGCATACTGTGTTGCTATAACAACTGGCAACCATGAGCTGTTCTCACCAGTTTCTGCTGCAGCATCAAGGGCACCACATCTGTAATGGCAAAATAAAAATATTTGCCTTTTCTTAAGCGACCCACTTTGGGACCACTGGTTTAAATCTATCGGGCTCGTAAGTGACAAGCCCTCCAGAGGCCTTTCCCTTTTAACGGGTCTTGTGGAGAGGAGCAGGCTGGCCAAAGTGGCTCCAATTCCCACACTTAACTGTAGGCCTTTTGACCTCAAATACATTATCCTTGTTTGATTTCCTTTAACCTCTTCACTTACATCTGTTTGTGTCTTTCTTGTCTCTGAAGGTCGCCCCGGGATGTTTGACTTCACTGGTAAAGCTAAATGGGATGCCTGGGAGAAGCAGAAAGGTACACCATCAGTCCTGTAGATGTCTCAACCCCGGCAAACCTTCTCTGAAACAATTTCCAGTACTTCTGTATACCAAATGAGTTTGTTGTACACGATTTTGCTTCTTCTTACACTGCATTCATTTTCAGATTGAAAGTCTGAATGAAAAGATTTGAGGGTTATATCAGGCAGAGCTAAAGCTTTGCTGATGTAGCCCCAGCCAAGCTCCTGACTTCCAATGCATGTGTGTGCATGTTGTCACATCAGTTAAAAGTTCAGCACACCAAGCATCTTGTTTTCATCATCCATGTAGGAGTGAGCATTAGTTTATGGTCGGGATGTCCCTGATCCAAGTCCTTTTAATGTTCGGCAGAGTTCAAAAATAACTGTGGAAATATAAAGAAGAAGAAATAAAAGAACAATTAAGTCAATTTAAATAATGTGAAATATTAAGAGAAATAAATAAATGTGGAAATATAAAGATAATTAAAGCTGCGAGCAGCATTGATCGGGCCCTCGCAACTTCACGCTCGTCGAGGGTACTGGCAGGACTCTGGCCATGAATTTCTGTGACCATCACACTCTGCGTGCACGAGTGAGATATTTCCTGGTTAGACCAGCAGCGTAGCAAGATCATGTTGCCAGGTCTTAAGCCTCAAATGTTTTGAGTGTACCTCCGATACAATCATAAATGTAAGCCTTTAAAGATCATTAAGAAAATGAATGTGTGTGAATGTGCTTCAGTGTTTGTAACATAACAGACAGTCAGTTTACTGGGATGGGGTTCAACTCCCTGCAGTGTCCTGCTGATTGTATTTGGACTTGCATGAAAGTTAACAAAACAGTAGTGCCATTTGCTGTTACTTGAACACTTTAATTTAACACTGTTTTCATTTTAAGTTCTTCTGCAACTTTAGATTGTAGTGTGAAGCATTCATTGTAACGTTTAACCTGATTGTCACGAAGAAGATCATTTATACTAATGCCCACTGACATGGTTTGAAAATCCACTGTTATCTAACGTTTGCTCTCCAAGCATCTTAGTCTGCACATATTTAGATCAGAGAAGTCTTTTTCTCATGGTGTGCCCACAAACCCTTTCAATAAGTTCAGTGTTTGGGGCGCTGTAAATATAGAATCCTGCTTACGTCCATGCTTATCAGTAGGTGGCGCTATGACTATGAGTTACTATTGGCATGCAGAAGTCCTAAAGCCATGACAGTCAACAAGCATGTCAAGTTTGGGAGTTTTGACAAAGTACAGTTGAGTTACAACAGCTTGATGGATGATGGCAAACCATGTAAAATGGCCATCACACCATATCCACGTCGTTCGATGAAACCTAAAGGTTTTAGTAACTTTTAATCGCTAAGGTCTTTAGATTGTTCTGACCAAATTCTAAGGTGATCGGATTAATTCTCTAGGAGTTCGTAGTACAGCACCTGGAAATGGAAAAAAAACACTAGAAATTCATACAAAATTCAAAATGGCTGACTTCCGGTTGGGTTTAGAGCATGGTCCCAAGAGACTTTATTTTAAGTCCACATGTGATACATGTGCCTACCAAATTTAGTAAATCTATGTGAAACGTACAGCGAGGGCTGCTTCGTTGAAATTTTGTAGGGGGCGCTATTGAGCCGATTTGCCACTCTAAACCAATAAAATCATATTATATAACTACATTTTGGGCTTTAAATGTGTATGCCAAGTTTGCTTATGTTTCGAGCATTTCTAGCCTCTCAAAAACACCTTCGTTTTTCATGACGAAGCATGCATCGCCACGGCAACAGGCTTTCACGAAACAAGCTTTGAGTAACTTTTCATCACAAAGGTCTTTAGACTGTACCGACCAAATTTGAAGTTGATCTGATTAATTCCCTAGGAGGAGTTCGTTAAAGTGCAGCGCCTGGAAATGACAAAAACGACACTAGAAATTCATAAACAATTCAAAATGGCTGACTTCCGGTTGGGTTTAGAGCATGGCCCCAAGAGACTTTTATTTAAGTCCATATGTGATACATGTTCCTACCAAATTTCATACATCTAGGTCAAACATACTGCGAGGGCTGCTTCGTCGAAATTTTGTAGGGGGCGCTATTTAGCCGATTTGCCACTCTGAACCAATAAAATCATATTCTATAACTACATTTCGGGCTTGTAATCTGCTTGCCAAGTTTGCTTATGTTTCGAGCATTTTTAGCCTCTCAAAATTACCTTCGTTGTTAACGGCGAAGACTGCATCGCCGCGGCAACGGCGTTCGACAAAACATCAAAAGCTTCATGAACTGGCATTATGAACTTCTTATATTTGTGTGGAACTAATTTGATATTGATTTGATTTACCTACTAAGAGAAACAAGCCAAAGTATAAAGACTTTAACTTCCTGTTACCAGTAGGTGGCGCTATGATTCAAAATTGGCCTGCAGATGTCTTCAGGCCGGGAGTCTAATCAAACATGTGAAATCTGGTAAAGATCTGATGATGTGGAGTCGAGTTACATCAGTTTATTCGTTCATGGCGAAGGATCGAAATTCGCCGAGCCGCCACGTCGCCGCCCTTCAATAACTTCTTACAATCTTCACAATGAAGCATTATCAAGGTCTTAAGGCTGTTCTGACAACATTTTAGAGGGATCTGATTAATCTGTGAGGAGCAGGATGTCAAAGTACACAACTTACAACTTCCAGTTGCCACTAGGTGGCGCTATTACTATGATTCTAAATTATCATATAGATGTGTTCCGGGTCAGGATGTTATGACATAAGAGAGATGTGGAGCAGATTAGACTATGTACGGCGAGTTACAACAACTTCCTGTTTCGCGGCGAATGGTGTTTTTTTTGACGCCACGCCACAGACACATAGTTTGATAACCTTTTGATCTTTGAGTAACTTTTCACTGCCAAGGTCTCAAGAGCATACTGACCGAAACTGAAGTCAATCGGGTCAAATCTCTGGGAGGAGTTCGTTAAAGTATGACGCCTTGAAATGGTCAAAAAACGTCAAAATGGTCGACTTCCTGTTTGGTTTAATGAAAAACTCCAAGAGGTTTTTTTGTGCGTCTCATCATGTTCCACATACCTACCAAATTCCATACAGCTAGGTGAAACCCAATGTTGGGGCTACTCAATAGGGGGCGCTATCGAGTCAATATTTCATACCGCAGTTGGACACCCCAATCAGACTGCAATTTTTGCAAATTCTGGCTTGCGTGCCAAATTTCGACTTTTTCCCAGTATCCCAAGCACCTCCTTTTTGCGACGAAACACTAAGAATAATAATAATAATAAACAATCGAATAACAATAGGTCCTCCGCTCCGACTACGTCGGTGCTCGGGCCCTAATAATAATAAACAATCGAATAACAATAGGTCCTCCGCTCCGACTACGTCGGTGCTCGGGCCCTAATAATAATAGTTCCTGGCCACGTGAAGCGATGCTTGAACTGTGTCTTGAGAGCGTTCAGCCGTGTGCAGGAATTAACTGCTCGGCCAGGACAGGGAGGCTTCTCAAAGCCAGTGATTGGCAGCTTGGCCCTTCAAGGAAAAAGAAAAAGCAACAATGAAAAGAATAAGAAAATATGTAAGAATAGAAATGACTCAAAAAAAGAAATCAGTCATTTTATATGCTAATTAAATAAATATATAAATACAGAAATTAATCAACAAATAAATGAAAATCCTCATTCTTTTGTTATTTGTCTTTATATTTCCACGTTTATTCTCTTGTTCCTTTACATATATTTCCGTCATTATGGCACTCCTGTGACTCCATAAGCCACCAGTTGTCAGACTCCTGTAAACTGGTTGCACTTAGTCTGGTTCTTGTGGTCTCCATAGCTGCTGTAGACCAGATTATCGAGACGTTGTTTGCAGATCTCTACACTTGTTTCAATGTAACCTTCAGTGTTTACTCTGTCGAGTGTTCTTACCCATAGAAACAGCCAACCCTAAACAAATACAATACAATACAAGTAGTAAGAAAGAAGAAATGTTCTTTAAAACTTATATTGTCTATCCACAATTATCCTTAAAGTTATTTGCTCTCACTAACCCTAGTATTTGCAAGGACCAGGCCAGATTAGAAGGTCCAATTTCATTATCAAACCCAGTAATTAAGCTTCCTGTGTCCTGAGGACTACACATTGCACAGTGCTCATTTCTTTTATTAATTCATTCATGCGTTTCCTAAAATTCATTTTAATTTACTATCAGGCAAGAGCAAAGAGGATGCCATGAACGAGTACATCAACCTGGTGGAGCAGTTGAAGGAGAAGTGTGGAATGTGACCTCACAGGACCAACTGCTGGATGAATGGAGAGCACCGGCAAAGACCCCCACCAGTAGTCCCTCATCGCCTTCAAACCCAACAAATGTGTCCTTATACAGCACGTGTGTGTCTTGTGGAGCGCTTGTGGTCCAGATGAGATTACATTGGCCTGAATAACCACTGATGTATGATCATGAACTGGCCTCCACCAGAGTACCATCATATTTTCATTCATTATTTTAACCATGTGTATCTGCACAGATTCCTCTCATTTCAATATTAAATTGTTCTACTCTTTCAGTGTTGGTGGATTTTATTTTAGTTCGTTTCACATGTTCTGTGTGTATTATTGACATCATGTCCTGCTGAGATCAGAAATGATTTACAGTGGATTGGATGGTGGCGAGGTGACTATCTTCATCTTCCAGGTCTAAAGAAAGCTGAGAGTTCCGAGCTCAGAGACAAAGTTGCTTAGTGTGTTCCAGTGTGCCTCCTTACACACTCCTATCAGTCCACTATTTATCGGTAGTTGTCTTGTGATGACCTAATCAAAAATGTTGTTTAAAAGAATTGTTTTATTAAAAGGGAACAATTAACTGTAAAACGACTGAAATATCCTCTGAAATATCCTCCCACTGCAGTAAAGGATCTGATTTACAAGGTAGTTCTAGTAGTACATCAGATTTATGTAGAAAGAAAAGATGAGAATTAAAGGGTGTCAACTCGAAAATAAAACGAGAATTCAGATATGAATTCACAATACGGACCTGGTGCCCGGTACAGTATCACAAACAGAACTGGCTGTAATGTTGTCCAGGTTGGGTGTGAAAGACTAAGAACCAGGCTTTCAAATGAGTTATTTATTTTAGTTTAGGTTTAGGCTTTGATAATAGGCTTGAGTCAAAGATGGCTGCTACTCCACCTCCTCGGCCGGTGCCTCGAGGAATGCGAGTATTAATGACTTGGAGGAGTTGATTCACCGCCAGGGGTCAGTAACCCGCGGCTCCGGAGGTGCTTGTAGCTCAGGGAGCTCCCTGAGGCTACATCCACACCAATACGTTTTCGATCTCTGTCCACACGGCGTTTCAGCATCGTTTTTGAAATGATCTCCGTCCAGACTAAAACGCCTGAAAACGAATATCACGTGACTATTCACGTACACTGGGCATGATGGTGCCGGTGTAAACAGGAAGTAGATTGGTTGCTTAGTTAAAAAAATTACGACAAAGTAATAAAGTAGTCTTTAATGACTTAAGATCTTCCTCTAAAATCTTCTATGAACTCAAACATACACACTTCGTGGAAAATTATATTTTTCACTTAGTTACAGCGCTGCGGGTCTTTCGCTATCTCTCTCACACATCAAATTTACTTTAATATTGACACTTTCACATAAAAGTTTACTAGATTATGGTCCATAAATGTGGTCAACACACGTCTCTCACTCATTTTCATTGTTTCCGTTCTCACTCGTAGCTCTGCTGGTGGCTGAAGTCTCTGTCCTACTGGAGAGCAATTCATGTTTAGTTCCTTTATAAACATCGAACAAAAAGTTCGGAAATTAGTGTTTGGTAGATTATTTCTCTGTTGTAACAATGCTTCTTGGCAATAAATTTTATACCGTTGGAAAGCCTGTTTATTTACCTTTCAAACGGTGCCCCATTTGTCAGGAACATGCATTTGTGGGATGACCAGCACAGCTGAGTATGTGGGTTGCGCCCATGAAAAATTTGCCAAATCTTCTCTGCCAAACAGCTTATTCTGCTGTTGCTATCGACTCTTGTTTGGTGTTGTTTGGTGGATTGGATGATTGAAGTCTATCAGTAACAAGGAAGAAACAAGACATATTGGCAATTTCACAATTTATTCATTTAACAAACAGGAGCCTCAGTAGCGTGTGGAAGAACCAAACACAGCCACAACAGCCTGGCTCCTCCTCCTCATGCTGGTCACCAGCCTGGTCACACACTGCTGTGGGATGGCATTCCACTCCTCAAGCAGGATTTGCCGCAAGTCAGCCAACGTGGTTGTGTTGGGCAACCAGTGGCAATCCCATTTCTCCAGTCTGGGACCGAACTCCATCCTCTAAGATGACAACGCTCGCCCCCACAGAGCGGTTTATCAGAGACTACCTCCAGAATTTGGGAGTAGAGAGGATGGAATGGCCTGCCAGCAGTCCTGACCTCAACCCAAGTGAACACTTGTGGGATCAGCTGTTCGTGCCAGAGTGACCAACACAACCACGTTGGCTGACTTGCGACAAATCCTGCTTGAGTGGAATGCCATCCCAAGAACAGAGAACGCAGAGAAGATTTGGCAAATTTTTCATGGGCGCAACCCACATACTCAGCTCTGCTGCTCATCCCAGAAATGCATGTTCCTTTCAAATGTGTCACCGTTTGAAAGGTAACTAAACAGGCTTTCCAACTAGAGCACTAGAAGCAGAGCAACTGAGGAAGACAGTAGCTGTGCAATGAGAACATAAGATAATGAGGAAATATTTTTATATATTACATGTAGTGTATTTAAGAAAAATTATAAAATAGATATAACTTTGTGATTCTGTTTTTGCCAGCAGAGAAGGCCTTGCTGGCCCACCACTGGTAGAAGATGATTAAGAAATGGAGGGTATTGCTCAATTTGTATTTTTATCTCAGATAAGCGATGTGCAAGTGTTTTCCCATTAATCTCCTTCATTGTGTCTTTGTCACAGGGTGAAAAGACCAGAACAATGTGGAAAATGTCAGAAAAGTAGCCAGATGATTGATGACCCCTATTGATGTCTAATTGGCAAATGTTAAGTTAATCCATCCCATAATTCCAGTTTAATATGTTTAAAAATGTTACCACCCAACAACAGCCTAAATCAATTCAAAAGGCAGGAAATTTAAGCTTTAAATTCAGTTAATTCAGGAGTAAGTGATGTCAACCAAAAAAAACGTATTTCTCATCTAAAAAGAGAAATCAGTGAGCATGGACTTCATCTGTGGTTATTAAACCACTTGTTTCAGCTCTATTCGCTCTGTTAACATTATTGTTGGACAGTGAATTCATGTTAGGATTCTGATCATTTTGGGCTCTTATGCTGCGTTCACACCAAACGCGGCGCGAATTATTTGCACGAGTAGAATACATACAAAGTCTATGCACAGACGCGATGAGACTGGCGCAGCGCGAATTTGCGTTGGCGAGGCGCAATGGATGCGAATTTGCGGCGCGATGGATGTGAATTCACCCCAAACACGTGAGTTGAAATTTTTCAACTTGGGCGAAATATTCGTGTTACGCCTCGGCGCGATAGCCTATCAGCGTTGAGTTGCTTCCCCTGTCATCACTGACTTCCTGCCGTTGTTGAATCAGAACATAAGTACTGTAGCCGTCTGTGTTCACCCAGAGCTCTACGATACCTCATATCAATAGAGACCGGACCAAACTATGTGTATAAATGTGTGTGTAAACCATATGGTACAAACAATGAAGAGACGCTGCCGTATTTACGTCTACATGACGTTATTCTGAGTGTTGGTGGAGCTGCTACAATGTTAGCATAGCCTAGCACCGCTCCATTGAGAAGACAAGTAGCCTACAAATCGGCATATGATGACATTCCCGTGCTATATGTTTCACAAGTTTCAAGTACATTTTTGGATTGACACCTTTTGATACAAACAATTTTTGACAACTCAAGAATTGATATAAATGGCAAGAATCACTCATACCACATTAAAACAAGCTCTTGAAGAACACCATTGCAAAACCCATGCTGTGATTTAGAATAAAAAATGTTTGACATTTGGAGATGAAGAGAAGTTTGTCCAAATGTGATTAAGTCCCAGAGAGAAATTGTTTTGGTAACACTTTACTCACTGAGTCAAAGTGGGCACAATTAACATGCTTTTTGAAGTATAGTGCAGTACATTTTATTCTGTTAATTATAAGCAACATTCAACAAAAAACTTTGAAACAGTTAGAAAACCTAAGCATTTTGTTTTTCTAAAAACAACACTGAAAATGAATGTCCACGATCACAACTACCAGAAAAAAGAAAAATAGAAATAAAAAGGCGCACCAGTGTGGTGGATAATACACTTTGGTTTTAAAAACAACCCCAGAACTGTGACGTTAACATTACGGTATAATTCTTGTTTTCCTATTGTTCCTGGCACGCTAAATCTTAAGAACCCCCCCCCGCCCCTACAAGTTAAGTAAATTAAGTAAAATAGTGGTCACCAAGCAATTTTGGGATTTGCTTTATAGACACTGTAGTCTTCTCTCCTGAAGAAGGCCACTTCTGTTTCATTTGCTGAAAAAAACAACACCACAAATGTTAATAAAATAAAGTTGACAGCAGATCATCAGTATTGAGCATTTAATATTATTCACAGACTTATTGCTTGGAAATTATTTAACTGAACTTATATTACTGGCCTCAGTATATCATTACTCAGGTGCAACACAACACACACCAGACACACCCCAGACACACAACACACACACGCAACAGACACACCACACACACGCAACAGACACACACCAGACAAACACCACACACACACACACACACACACACACACAGAGACAGACAGACAGACAGACAGACAGACAGACAGACAGACAGACAGACAGACAGACAGACAGACAGACAGACAGACAGACACACACCCTCCCTTTTCACCAGTTCTGTGCTGTTCCAGCGAGTACAAACCCTGAAAAGGAGCCCAACATGTCTACGGGATAGAACCGTATGAACGGACTCGGAGTCTCCTTCAAACAACTGGATGTATTCAAGTCTCTCACCAACACACACACACTTTACGAGATTACATGTAAAAACAGCATGATAACGTTAACATTGGCCCAATACTCATTTTCACTGAAAAGAGCCTGAACACATCATAATGTAACTGAACTGCTGCGATAGTTAGTAGCTCTCCTGTTGATTTAAACACGTGTTAGTTGTTTACAATGCAACATTATCAGAGATTGGCAAACAGAAAAGCAAAAATGCCGATGTCCTGATCTCATATTTTACTGAATGTTGGTGGATAACAATCGTCAGTCAAATTTTATTTCACACTGTGATGATTAATGTTAAACTGTGTAATTAATCCACGGTTCACATACATGCCAAACTGCGTGGGGGGGGGGAGCCATACGGATCACGGATCGCCAGTGGTCCGTTGCACCGCTAATTTGAACACATGATAACGTTATCATTTACATTAGTCGAATACTAATTTTTACTGAATGAAACTTGAACGCACCATAATGTAACTCAATGGAACCTCTTTATAGCTCTG